AGTGTATAATTTTTCATTTTATACTTGAATACGATAGGCACTTCCCAGCATTAAAATTGTGTGTAGAGACATTTTTTAATGGCTGAGGACAAAATGCACATATTTGTTCGTACTCTCTGACTTCTATTTCAGGGGAAGCACTTGAGTGAGTGAGGCTCAGCCGGGGGACATAGAGCCGTGGAGACTGTTGGTGGCACTGGACATCGATTTTCCAGAAGTGGTCCCCCGGCTACGTTACCAGCTATCTTGCTGTGCTCTGCGAGTGAGTGGCTTTTAAAACACAAGTGTGTGTGTGTGTGAGAGAGAGAGAGAGAGACTGTGTGTGTGTATGAGAGAGTGTGTGTGTGTGAGAGTGTGTGTGTGAGAGTGTGTGTGAGGGAGTGTGAGTGTGTGTGAGTGCGTGTGTGAGTGCGTGTGAGAGTGTTGTGAGAGTATGTGTGAGGGAGTGTGTGAGTGTGTGTGTATGAGAGTGTGAGAGAGTGTGTGAGAGAGTGAGTGTGCTGTGTGTGTGAGAGTGTGCGTGAGTGTGTGTATGAGTGTGTGTGAGTGTGTGAGAGTGCATGAGTGTGTGTGTGAGTGTATGTAAGAGTGTGTGTGAGTGTGTGAGAGAGTGTGTGAGTGTGTGTGTGTGTGTGTGTGAGAGAGAGAGAGTGTCAGAGGTTTCCCATGAGCACCTTCCCTTGCTGATAATGCTGTTTCCTTGGCTTTATGTAGTCACAGGCATGCAAATCGTGTGGACAGAATGGATTAACTAGAAATGTCCGATCAATGAGATCAATGAATGAATATGTAAGCAAATTATGTTTGGCTCTTTCGAAGCCTTTTGTTCTGTGGGAAGTACAGGAACCAAATAAATGCCACAGGCAATCGAGGTCATTGATGCCAGAGTATGGGTTAGAAGCAGGAATGAGGAAGTGAAGCTAATGTGAGTTAGACAGTCGTAGCATAAAAGGATTTAACAATTACGAAATTCCCTTAATTCTTGAAGGTGCACTGATTTTATAATTGTGTATCCAGAAGTTCTGTTGACCACTACAAAGGGATCCTGAGAAGCTTGCCAATGTACATTTCAGGAATATTTTCTCATGAGTCACAAGTGGCATTTTTTTGAAAAAGAACTGTATAATTTTCCTTTTGTGCACTTCAGACTTTTTATAGAAAACTGGAAATGTTTTCCTTAGTCAAATGGAACTGAATTTTGAAAGTATAGGTATTTAAGTGTACGTACGCTCACGGCGAATGTATTGACAGTTACAGAAATTCAGCGCGGCCTTGCAGGATTCACTAGCAGAGCGCACTGACAGGACCGTGGCTTCTGTTGACACGAGGGGCTGTGTGGTCATCTCCACGCTCGCCGCCCTCACTCCTTCCCCATGTCAGTGTCGCGCCTGCTGGGCCTGTCCCCGGGTTTCATCTGTGTTCATCCCAATCTCTGCACAGCCGGGAGAGTCGTCTTGCACTTTGCTCGCATCCTGCCGGAGCCGAGCGTTCACCGGCCATGTATCTGTTGATGAGTTCACCTGTCAGATGCTGTCTGTTTCGAGTGATTTATGAGGATTCGTTCGCTCACTCACCAACAGCCTCGTGAGCGGCTCCTTCAGTAGCCTCATGTTCAGAGGAGGCAGCCCGGCCATGAAACGGCCCGACTTTCCAGGGTCACGCATCTCGTGTGTGGGGGAGCTGGGCTGAGGCCAGGCTGTGCAGATCCACCATGGACGGTGCAGACACTGCACTGTGTCCTTGTCACCAGCAAGGTCAATAGCCCCAAGATCAGAATCACCTTGTCCCCAAGCCCCCCACGCCAGGACGCAATGCTGTGTCCGGAAGCAGTGGTTTCCCCAGGGGAAGCCCCCTCACGTGTCCTCGTGTGAAACTCTGACTTACACCCGCTGTGCGGGATCTATAAAGACACAGAGGGAGTCTGACAAGTGCTCCGAGGAGCGGAGCAGCGGCCGCGGCACGTGCGCCTTCTGCTCTGAACCCCATCCCTTGGCCCTCGGAGAACTGTCAGGGAGGTGCACCTGTGTCAGCTTGAGAGGCAGAGGGGAGCCAGCAGCACAGCCCAGTCCTCCTACGAGGGCGGCAGGGCCCCGGCTCTATGTGCCAGGCTCTCCAGTAGCAGGAAGTTAGAGTTAGAAGCCAGAGCCAGGATCCAAGCCCAAGTACTTCAGTAAGGGACATGAGCATCTTAACTGCTAAGTCAAATGCATACCCTCCCCCACCTCTCCCCCTCTCCCTCCCTCCCTCCTTCCCTCCCTCCTTGCCTCCCTCCTTCCCTCTCTCCCTCTCCTTCTCCCCCTCATCCACTCCCTCTCCCAACACACACATACACACACACACACACACACACTTCATCAATGTCCTTGACATCTCAACTGTGCTAGATTAGGAACCATCAATTTGAATTGATAGAGGCTATTGGGGCCATGCGTAGATCTGGGGGAAAGACATCTGATGACTTCAATAGCAGACAGGAAAGGAGAAAATAGACCCCAGGGTGAAGAGCTCCATGGGGGCTCACGGGGTGGCCTGTGTCCCCAACACAAGCTCACCTTGTCTTGAGTCTTTACTCCACAGATCTGAACAATGATCCAACCGTAAATGTGTTCATGTCCATCTCACTTAGGAGATTTTACTCAGGTGTAAAACACCTTCCCCCCACAATGCTTCCAAAATGAGTTATGATCCTAAGGCATTGGGCATGGCGTTTGTTCATTCTTTCACTCATTAAACTAATGCTTCTCAGTGTTAGGTGTTGCGCTAGGGGCGAGGCTACATATGTGGAATAGATACATCTATGAACAAAACAGACCAAAATTCCCATGCTCATGGTATATTCATAAAGTTTGTGTAATCACATAGGTCTTTACTGAGGCACTGTTATGTGCCCCAAACCATGCTAGCCATACGGGATTCGACAGCAGAATCACAAAACTCAGCACATTCTGGGGAACTGCTGTTTGAGGTTGTGCTGGGGTAAGGGTGTAAGCTCAGGGGTAGTTGCTTGGCCACCCATCGGACATCAGCTACAGCTGTACACAGCAGCAGTGGGCAGCCCTTGCACACCCTGTGTGATAGCAACAGCACCCTGTGGACGGAGGCTTCCCTTGCAGCTGTGGGACTGTCCACCCAGGCTGGGCTGAAGTACAACTGCGGGAATCATTTTGTGCAGCAGACAAAAGATTGCCTGGCTAAATTCCTTATGCATTCCCACTCATCTCTTCCTGGCCACCTTCTAATCATTACGGACCTTGAAGCCGTGGGGCCAGCCCTCCTGCTTCCCGGGGTTGGGCTGCAGCCCAGCCTCTCACTAGCTCAGCACTTTGCTTCCAGGTTTGCATTTTCACCTTCTCCCTGTTACTGAGTTGGGGTCAATGCCAGGACTTGCTGACTGCTGCTTGTTTAGATTAAATCAGTATCTTCGTCAGTCGAAATGGATGACAGCAAATGCTGTAATTGACTTGCAATTAATTTCTGCTTACGATATTTCTGAGAACCAAAAGCTCCCAAGGATTTGGAATAGTTGCTTCCTTTTTGTGCCTCTATAGAAATGGACTTGTCATGTACCCAGGTTAAGTCAAGATAAAACACACCCAAGTAACAACAATTATGTCTATTTCATTTAACTCTCAGGTTTGGTGATGGTTATGCAGTCAAAGTTTGGCTCTGTAAGGAAGCACGTGTGCCTAGCCCTGTTTCCGACTGCCTGAATCTCCATTTTCCAGGAACCCAGTTTAAGGTAGTGCCAATATTCTGCGTTACTTTGTTTTCAGCTAAGAACGTCTTGTAAGCATAGCAGTCTTTGTGCTGTCCCACGGTTCTACCTGTCGTCTCGGCCTCACTGAAAAAAGTGGACTGTTCCCCTTTACCTGGGACAGCGAGGGCAGCTGCACTGTGTGGAACTCTGAGGGGCGGAAGCCTGCTGGGATGCCTCGCCTTCCTGACCCCTCACTATTCAGGACGCGAGGTCGCAAAAGCTGACTTCTCCCACGTTCCTGCCGTGAGGGTAGAAGGCTGGGCAGCCCCAGGATTATCCCATGAGAAGTGTCCTCCCTGGAGGTTGCTGTCTTCTGTGCACTTGACCCGGTCACTGTGGCCCCTGACCCGGTCACTGTGGCCCCTGACCTGCATCATCTTCATCTCCTGCACCTGTTAGCCAGGCGGAACCTCGGGTCCCAGCCTTCCAGATCTGAGCTGCAGTTTAGCAAGGTGGACAGGTGATTCCCCTGTTAACGTTTGAGAAGCCCTGCCTACAGTCCTTTTGGAGAACTGTGTGATTGTGACTTATCACGTCTGGCAGGCTGTAGTCCATAGAGCAGCCATTCACCATCTGGTGAGTGACATTCTACCATGGAAGACCCCGCAGTTCACGCCCGCTACTCTACAGGATCCCCCAGAAAAGGTGTCACCTTCTCCCCCGGTGCCATGCGGGGAGGATCAGCTGATGTGGAAGCAGCGGAGTGCCAATCCCACCCCCGTGTGCATTCCAGGCACCTCCCGCCTCCCCGGGCACCCCTGTCAGGCCCCTTAACTTTCCACTTCTTGAGTATCTACAGGCATCCCCTGACCCAAGGTCATCCCCTTGTAACAAGGTAGGGGAGAATCGGGGCAGAACAGCAACTCGACCCATGCTAACGCCACTCGCCAGTGGTGCCTCTTGGTGAACGGTCGTCAGTAATCAGTAATCAGTAATCAATCAGTACAGACTCAGGAAATTCACCTGCACACCCCACTGGTGTTTATGTGTGTGATTTGAAGACATGTAACCAACGTATTTGGCACTTAAATGTGGTGTGATACTTTTTGTTTTTTCTTTAGGGCCAGCGCCTTAATTTATTGGAATATCAAGTGCCCAGAAGGTGGGGGTGCTTAGCTGACTTGTTCAAAGTTCTAGAGAACAACAAGGCGACCTTGAATATTGAGCATTACTCCGTCAGCCAAACCTCTTTGGAGCAGGTACGGTACCACAGAGGATCCGTGTTTCGATGGCTCCTTGAGCCTGATCCGGCTGGTGTTAAAATTAACCAGATTCCTTCTTCAGTGCAGTTTCTTTGAACTAATCTTGCTGAATTTTACAAAATCCTAGTCGGGTGGGAAACAGGAGGAGATTTGTTTACCATCTGCCCCCACTCAAGGCAAAAACTCCAGAGGGCTCCAATGTGCTTATCATTACACTGGGCCTCCGCAAATTACAGAATGTCCCGTTACCCTCCCCTCCCCTCCCCACTGTAGCCCTTGGAAGGCCAAGGGGGCTCCGCTGTGATGGACTAACTTTGGGGGAACACAAAGTGCATGGTTTACTAAGAGCACCAGAAGCGTGAAGTACTGTCATTCTTTCTAGAACCAAGCTCTGTGCACTGGGATTCCCGGTGACCTGTGAACAGTCCAGGCATATTGGATCACGTCACCCGAGGGTGCACCTGTGGTGTTCATTCAGGAGGGGCCGTGAATGAGTGGTCTGTGGCTTCCGGGACGACTGGGCAGTGTTCTAGAGGGCATTGTCTCCTCTAATAGTTGGGTGTTTCGTGTCAACCACTGTTCTCATCGTTTCTCTCAGGTATTTCTTCGTTTTGCTACTGAACAGCAGCCCACCCCACAACCCCGCGATGGTCGTGACCTGCACCCCCTGCCCATCTAAGCCCTAAGGAGTAGAACCTGGTCCTTCCCAGTGGTCAACACTCAGGAAGCAGCGGCGGAACTGCACGGCACAGCCCAGGCAGCCAAGTGACTTCCTCTCCCTCATCTTCTGTCTCAAGGCATTTTGTCCATCACTGCCCAGCCAACGAGAGGCCACCCTTCCTGCAGGCCTCTGGGGAGCTGCTCCGGCACATTCACTCTCTTTGCCTGGCCAGGTGACAAAGGCAGGGCTGGACTCACAGGGAGCAGGCAGAGGCACTGGTGGAGGAGTGGGCCCGGGTGGCCTGCTCCAGCCCTCTCCATCTGCCCAAGGACACGGAGGACCCCAGCAAGGTTAGAAAGCTCCTCACTGGCTGGTGTACGGACCGACATCAAGGACTGTTTCCCACTTCGCCATCTTTTTGCTAGGTGTGCTTACATGTTTTTAAATACAAATTCGGTGATTCAGGTGTGAAATTTTCCTAGAACTGGATGAAATGATGTGTGTGTCATGAGCAAGTTGTCAATTTTTTTATGCAAAAGAAACTTATTGTAATAGAAATTTAGAAGTTTTTAAGCCTAACCTTTCAGAAAATTAAATAAATTGAACTGGTTACTCTGTCATTTCTCACAGTTTTACCAGAATTTCACAGACTGCAATTTTATGGGAATAGAGAAAGACGTAGATAGTGGGTGTATTTTCTTCTCAATTTGGATAAATATTCACTGTGGTTTTTTTGTTGTTCGGAGTCCTTGTTTTTCAAAGTGTGGAGTACCCTTCTCAGCTGTGTGGGCGTCTCCTGGGGCGTATGTGAAGCACACAGATCCTGGCCCAGTGGATCTCAGTTATAGCGCTAGGGCCCAGCAGTCTGGGTTATTTCCGTGTGGGAACCATGACCTAAGGAATTATCCTGTTACCTTCTAACTATGTGAGCGGAAACAACACAGTGTGTGGTAACTGAACTTTAATTTTCAAATACTTTTGAAATTTTCTAAAAATTATGTCATTCTCAGAATCATTGCCCTCACAAATAAAGTCCTGGACTATGGCTCTCAGAGGCTGTTTTGATCTTGATATTTTACATCTTTTTAGATGAAATTCTTGCGTGTGCCACTGCAGGTAGTTCCCAGTCATGCATCTGAGAGTTCAGACATTTCTCAGTGTTCTTCTAACAATGGTTTCTGAAGGCTTCAGTGTAAGACCACACTAACTTCGTCTTGAATATGGCTTTATGGGGCTGGCAATGTGGCTAACGGATTAAGCCGCCACCTGTCATGCTAGCATCCCATGTGGGAGCCAGTTAGAATAGAACCTGGCTGCACCACCTGCAGTCCAGCTCCTTGCTAATGGACCCGGGAAAGTAGTGGAGGGTGGCCCAGGTCCCTGGGCCCCTGTGTCCACGTGGGAGACTCAGATGCAGCCCTTGGTTACAGCCATTTGGGGAGTGAACCAGCAGATGGAAGATTCTCTAACTCTAACTCTAACTCTAACTCTACCTTTCAAATAAATAAAATATTTTTGAAAAAAAAAGGTGGCTTTATCCAATACTAACTTTGAGCACTAGTAGCTTATGATCACAGGAAAACACTTCCTTGAAACATTTCTTTACCAACGCAAGATTTCATTGAGTCTGTCTTTCCTAAATTTCATTCTATGTGTGAGATATTTTAAATGGTGAGGATTAAGCCAATCATGAGAGCTTTGATGTGGGTGATTTTGATTCTCTTGCATTAAAAGGATTATGCTTTCTTAAATTACAATTTCAATTTTTATGATTTCTTTTCTCCAATTATAATATGCTCTCCTTGTCAAAATGGAAGATGTCATCTTTTTGCTATTGTTGAATCAATAAATACCATTTTGTGAAACATGAACATGTTGATGCTACAGTGAATAAATGAGGTGTGCTTCCATTTAACCTGGTTCTGGGGATGTAATTGTGTTTTTGCCAATATATTTCCTTGCATCTTTATTTGTGTCTTTAGGGATCCAATTTAATTTGGTTAAGGAGGAAATGAAACTCCTTCAGAGCCTTTAAAGTTTGAAAGGTTAAAATTTAATTGAGTTTTACTCTGTTGTGTTCTGCTCTTAGGGGTTCTTTTCTGTTCTTTGAACTGCTGCATTCTTGAAGTTTATACTTCAAGGTTTGCCTTTGAACAATAAACAGGAAGGGAAAGAAACCCAACATGCGAAAACACTGCATCCCAGAAGACTGGACACAAAGGTCAAACCTCATGCTAATGTTGAAAATGTCAGTGCATTTATTAGTCATGCAGATATTTTATGCCTTTGGAGTTAAACATTTGTCTTAAGACCTTTGGGCTTAAGGCCATACAACCGAGACTTTTAAACAAACCTCCTCCGGTTGGAAGCCATTCTGGGTAGAGTACTTTATAGGCATATATAGCGGTGAGCATTCCAGTTCCAGGAAACTAACATTCATTATATGGTTTGTCATCACCCAGATATTTGAACAGAAGTTGTCTTAGAAAGCCCTTGTGCAAAATCGGGATTGTAAAAAGCAAACAAGAAGTCTGTCTTTAGAATAGTAAAGACTAGGTGGCTTAAGGTTGCAGTTGGCTTTGTTGAATGGGCATTGAATTGAAAAGCAGCCCAACGAAGGTAGCTTTGTTTAATGGGTATTGGCCACTCCAAATGTCTTACAAATACACTGCACACCACCCCGTACACACTGGATGATTAGCTTAACCACATGTATTTTTTCTATGCAAATGGGACCAAAAGCATTTTAAATTTTCAAGCTGTTTTAACCATGTTTCTTCTTTTGCTTTGATCTCTTGGATTAGTTCAGCTCAGTAACTTCAGCGTATGGTATATTATAATGGAGGTCCACACAGTTGCATAACTCTAAGCCCTTTAATACATACAACACACACACACACACACGTCATATGTCCTGAGTGCCTGCTGTGTGCTGAACTAGCTGGTGAGTGCTATAAACATGAGGGCAGTGACCGAGCCATCACTTTTGTCCTTGAGGGCACACAGCAGGCAGTTGACAAGGTGAGGCCTAGCACAACAAATGCTTCCTTCTGTGGACCTACAGAGGGGCCCTTCTAGTCCCAGACTGTGGGAAGTGGGCTTTTGGGGGTAACCACCACTTGGTTGGGCTGTCTAGACAGAGAATGGGGAAAACAGCATTAGAGGCTAAGAAAATACCGGGCAAAATCAACAATATTTAATGGGCAATGGGCTTTTTCCTGTTACTTTTGGGTAGCTGGGAAAGTGGTTCCATGACATCAAGAACCCAGCTCTCTCACCTTAGAATCCAAGGTGGCTTTTAGAGCTCTAGTATGACAGTATTCAGATGAAAAAACTGGACTAAGGGAATAAAAACACACCTATTTGAAGATCTTTATGGAAATGTAATCCATATACTTAGGCTTGTATTACATCATCCAGAGACAGTCACGTGGCACCACTAGCTCAAGAGTGTTTGGGGAGGGGCCAGCATTGTGGCACAGCAGGGTTAAGCTCCCACCAGAGATGCCAGCGTCCCAGATGGGTACCGGTTTGTGTCCCAGATGCTCCACTTCTGATCCAGCTCCTGACTGATGGCCTGGGAAAGCAGTGAAGATGGCCAGAGTACTTGGGTCCCTGCCACCCATGTGTGAGACCTGGATGAATCTCCTGGCTTTGGTCAGGACCGGCTCTGGCCATTGCAGCCATTTCTAGAGTGAACCAGCAGATGGAATTTATCCCCCACACCCCGTGTGTGTGTGTGTGTGTGTGTGTGTGTGTCTTTCTGTAACTCTGACTTTCAAATAAATAAATCTTTTTTTTTTTTTTTTTTAAGAATGTTTGGGCAATAGTCTTTAGCAGCCTTCTGACTACCCAAACATGAAATCAGGATTCTGACTTGTCTAAGAAGAACCAAATCGATGCTGAACAGCCAGCCATATCTGCCACACAGGGACCAACGTGCGTCTCGTGGGCCATTCCTGCAGCAACAGAATGAATTCAGTTCTGGACACGTTGAACACACCAGGTAATGTCAGCTCACGCGGCCACCTCTGGGTAATCCAGATTCCGTGAGTGTTACCGTTTCCAAGATGACCGCTTTACGTTAGGATCTGTGGAGTGGACGCCATTTGTATGTATAAACATGATTGTCGAGTTGAATGCAGTGGGTTGGGAAAATGAAACTCTGGATTTTTCCCACGTGGGGTAAACAATGCGCTGTCATTTTCCCACAGTGAGAATTCCTGCTGAGAGCTGTCTGACGGACACGCGTCTTCTGCTGGACAGGGTGCAGTGACTGGGAGACCTCAGCGTCCTTCTAATCAGAGGCTGCTGTGTGATTGCAAGAGACAGTCCACCCTCTTATCAGCGAATCCATCGCGTCTGTCTGCACGTTAATGTGTTTTAAGGGAAACAGGATCTGCTAGGTTAAATGCACATCTTAAGCCTAGTAAGATCCACTCATTAAAAAGCACATCACAGAATTTTGTAAGCACTTCCCTCTTTCAAATAGAAGCCACCATTGTGAGCATCCTATTCCCCGATGCATTCCTGTCCGTGGGTGTGGCTTGCCTTGGGGAACTACATCTGGTCTGAATGGTGGTGCATTTGCCTGGTGGTTTTGTCCATGGAGCACGGTGAACCTGGCTCCAGGCACGGCCTTTGTGGGGATACCGTGACGGTTGAGTCATTGGCTCCTAGTCACACGTGTACCCAGCGTCACACCTGGGGTGGTTCTGTCTGGGCCTAACTCTGAGAAAGCCGCTCGCCTTAGCCTTCATTCATGTGAGTCAGTGTGATGGGCTGGACAGGGGGATGTTGGCTGGGCTGGGCGTCGGGAGACCTGGCCAGCCGGAGCTGTGACTGGAGCAGACTTGTTCTGCATCGCTCTGCTGAGGGTGCCGGCTCCTGCACTTTCACAGTCATGCAGGATCTACGCAGCCTAATGAAATCAGCAGATCTCCAGGGACACTGCGTGCACACGTAATACTAGAGAAGAAAATAGAGGATAAATGCAAGCAGGAATAAAAAGTCAGAATAATATGAGAAAATCTAGGGAAACAAATGGGAAAACAGACACAGTGGATGATAATTTTAGTAAATAGTTCAAGAAAACAATATCCACTCCCCCGAGCATCTCAGCAAGGACAGGTCCTCACAGGCATGAGATCCAGGTGGCTTTGCAGATGAGCACTGCCAAGGTAAGTCGTCCATTTCACAAATCGCAGAAAACAAAAATCCCACGCATCTCATTCTATGACTCTATTCCCTTGGCACAGAAGGTCCGAAAGTGGGAGAAAGGAGAAGCAGTGAATTCGCGTGTGGCGATGACTCAGGAACGCCGAGTGGAGTTCGGCACGCAGCGTCTGGTGAGCTGTTTCTTGAGGCGCCCAGTGGTCCCGTCAGCCACGCTGGCTGCCGTCTGGATTCTTTCTCGCGTGGGGAGACACTCGGATCACCATCTCGGTTCCGTCTCTGCCAGCGTCAGCCAGAGAGGATGAGCAGCCTTGCCGTGAGGACGGCCCACGTCTGGCCTGCTGCTGTCCTTTCTCGTGCCGTGGCTGTTGCGGTGAGGGACAGCGCAGGCCTCTTTGCCGTATTTCCTGGAGACAGAGCCTGGCCCGCTCTCCTTGGAAGCGGCCACCTGGGCCCTCCCTGCCCGCCTTCAGCCGCACTCGTGCAGCAGGAAGATCCTGCCGAGACCACGGCCCACGCTCTCACCCTCTCTCCACCCAGACCCTCTGGGCCCCCTTTGTCCTGCCCCATCTGCCCGGGGTCACGACCCCCTCCTTCGTCCCACACGCTGGGGAGTGGGGAGAAGGCTGGGCGTGTCCAGCCGAGGCCCGCAGCGGCTCTCCGGTGACTGTCGCACCTCACTTCCCCTACTTCCTTTGCTGACGTTTGGAAAACAGCACTGGCAAGAACTTGTCACAGCCTGTTCCGTGTTAAGCCACTGACCAGACCCGCTGTGGGGCCATGTTTTCCAACTCCCTCTTAAGTTTCCTGTGGACCAGCAAGAGCCGCACGGCCCCTCGACCCTAAAGTTTCCCCCTTTCTCACTGGGTGCAGAAGACCCCCTCTTCCGCAGCTGGGGCCAGCATCGGCCTCGTTAACTGCACAGAGCTATCCAGTAGCTCATTATAGGTCCCGAGGCCCCAGAGGATACAGAGTGTAAAGCCCACGGCGCTTCCTAAAGTGCTGCGGACTGTTGAGGGTTAGTGTAACCGTGGATATTTAATGTTTTTGTTATCCAGTGTGACTCACTGAAAACATTTGGAATTAGATTTATGTCATTAAATCTTTCACTTAAAATGTCATTAGTTCTATACTTGAATGTTTGGTCTTCTAGGTTTAAAATTTTTCCCCAAATTTCTAGGGTTTACAACACTGTGGTAAATTATAGTTGTGTAAACAAAGATCAACATTTACTTGTTTCCTGCTTAATTAATTTCTCTGAAATTCCAAAGTTGCTTTAAAGTAACTATAGATTAAAATTCTATATATTCTTTTAAAAGATGTTCTCTTAATTTCAGGGTGTTAGCAACCTGGAGGAACAAAAGATGGGAGAGAGTTGTGGCGCAAACTGTAGGCGGGAGAACGCGTTCTTGGGGAGGAAGGATCAGGAAGAGTGTTTGCGATACGGGGGAAGCTGAAGGCCTACGTATGTGTAGAAGGCTTTTGGGAGTTGAGTGCAGTGAGACATGCAGTTGCATGATGTCAGAGGAAAATTATTTTAGAGTTAGCTCAGGTATCAGAAGTCCAGGTAACAGTGTTGCCTCTGTTTTGTGATATATCTGCCTGTCTTAAGTAATAGGCTCATATGCTCATGTCACATGCTACTCCTTTTTTTTTTTTAAGATTTATTTATTTACTTGAAAGACAGGCATATAGAGAGAGGAGA